ATTCTAATCGGCCATGACAACTTCTGGATGACACCCATCCTACATTACTTGGAGAACGATGAACTCCCCAAAGATAAGAATGAAACAAGGCGGCTTAGAGCCAAAGCGACACGGTTCACCATATACAAGGGCCGCATACTCAGAAGATTATTCTTGGGACCATACCTCAAGTGCATCACTCCCAAGGAAGCAAAGCATGTACTCGCAGAGCTCCAAGAAGATGAGTGTGGCAACTACGCCGGGGGCCGGAGTCTCACCAACAAAGCATTGACAACTAGTTACTATTGGCCCACCATGAGCGTCAATGCAACCAAATACGCCAAGAAGTGCGATAGTTGCCAACGCTTCTCCAAAGTCTCACATCTTCCTCTAGAGCGGCTTACCTCTATACTCACATCGTGGCCATTCATGAAGTGGGGAATGGATATTGTCGAAAAGCTACCACCCGCGCTGGGCCAAAGAGTGTATATACTTGCGATCATCAATCACTTCACTAAATGGATAGAAGCGGAAGCCTTCACCCAGATCAGAGATCGCGAAGTTAAGAGCTTCATATGGAAGAACGTTATTTGTCGGTTCGGCCTACCCAAGGAGATAATGACAGACAATGGCTCCCAGTTTATCAGTTCAGGCTTCCAAGACTTCCGCAAGACATGGAACATCAAGTTAAGCTTCTCCACTCCCCGATACCCCCAAGCAAACGGGCAAGCCGAATTCTCAAACAAAACCATCCTCTATACATTGAAGAAGAGAATACAAAAAGCAAATGGCGCTTGGGCAGATGAGGCTAGGGGTACTATGGTCTTACCGCACCACCGCGAGGTCGTCAACGGGTGAAACACCCTTTTTGTTAGCCTATGGCTTAGAAGTTCTTATCCCAGCAGGAGTAATGAATCCGTTGGCACGGCTCCAGTGGATAGACGAAGACGCTAGCAAGCCATAGCTAGAATGCCACGCATATGAAATCTATCATTTCTAACAATCGGTTGGCTCGACCCCACCTTCTGTTTTTTCTTATCCACAACGGGGGACAAGATGGGTCTGTCCACTCCCCCCTATCTCCGTCAAACATTTTTTGTTTTCTCCAACTTAGATTTCATTATTAATAAAAGTATTATCAAGTTTCATGAGTGCGTAGGAGTTATGGATTCGTTAAGCTAAAGTGATGTCGAGGCATAGACACCCCTAGAGACCCTTCAGAGCACTTGCCACCAACAAAGCTCAAATAACCATTATAAGATAGAAAATAAACAGGAGGAACTAGACTCCTATAAAAATGCTTGACGGGCCAAAACTAAACATAATTCTGTGCACATGGCACTTACAGCCAAAAAGAGCGCTCGACACTTTAAAAAAAATCCATAATTCAATACAAAACATAATTCAGTGCACAAGGTAAGCAAGTCTAAATGTCTTTAGTGGCCGAACCGCTCGACCCGGACGCATCCCCAGTCTGTTGGCCACTCGACGCCACTTTATCACCAGTCGTCTTCTACAGTCCATCAACTAATCCGCACGCATTAGTTTTTGACGCCTTGATCTCATCCTTATGGACATTTGGCTCGGGTCCAAGATCCCGTTCTGCTAGGAATGCTTTGTACTCCGCTATGTCCTTGTCCGACTCCCATTCACCTTGTTTCCCAGCTTTGTACTCCTCTATGAGCTTTGAACGAGTTTTCAAAACTGCCTCTTCAGAGACGGTCTCTAGCCTGCAAAGGAGCGAGGCCCTTTCAGCCTCCCACTCGACTTGAGTATTTTGTAATTGGCGAGCAATATCAACCCGTTCCTTCTCCAACCGTACCTCTCTTTCCTATCCTACATGGAGGTTGTCCTCCAGCTCGGAGGCAGCATCGGTGAGCTTCTTGTTACGCTACTCCAATTCCTTATTCATACGATCCTGCGAACTAACTAACTTCTGGAGATGAGCACCTCTAGAAAAGGCCTGCAAGTGTGAAATGGTAAATGAATTAGACTAAGTAAAAAAGGGGTAAGCAGCGCAAAAGAATGAGATCGATCACCTGAAAAAGCTGAAACATTGTCCACTCGGCCGCTTATGTCACACCCAACCACTCGAGTTGGCGCTCATCCTCGGGAAGAGGGCATGAATCCACCACGACCCCCATGAAAGACATATCAGAGTAATCCAAGGTGTCAAACGGGATGACGATCTTCACGTTATCATCATCTGGCACCACCACGGTAGCCCTTGGCAACACCTTTTGCGTGGGCTGAGTGATTGGGCTTGAAGTTGTTTCTGTCGGAGTTGACGAGCTCCCGCCCGATTCTATCTTTCTTTGCTTTCGAGCCAATTCTGTCTGATGCTTCTCCTTTATCTTCTTCACTAAAGGCACTCTGAACTTGCTTGACATCCTCTCTTCTGCAAGGCACAATTCTTCAACTGCTAGTGGGTGGCGAATGGATCTGCCAAAGACGATGAGGTTGCTATACTGAGCCAACAAGACATATATCAATAGATGCTCGAGCGAAACAAGTGTACCTTCTTGCACCTTTGGGACCTGACTCCACAAAGGGTTTCTTTGTAGATTCGCCTCACTTAACACTTGGCGATAGTTCCTCTCCTCCTCCGATAAAGCGAGAATCGCTTGGCTATTCTCTTCAACGCGAAGACCCGACAAGTGTCTATTATAGTTCAAATCTGCAAAAAAAGAAACAATGAGATTTAGTACTCCAACACTTACAACTAAAACCAAGCCTTATCACATGTTGTCTGCCAGAAGAAGGGAATGCCTTCGGCTTCGCCTGCCCTAAAGACCAACTCACCCCTGACAAAAAAGTACCTGTCCTTCCACTTTTTGTCGTAAGTCTTCAGTCCAGTTACCAAATACCTCCGGCCATGCCGAAGCATGAACAGGTACCGACCCATTTCCTTATCATGCTCTTTCAAATAATACAAATAGAACAGGTCCATAGCCCTGAACTCAACTTCGAGCCAAGCACTTAAGCATTCGATCGACATGAGCAACCGCTAGGCATTCGGCATCAGCTAGCTCGGGGCGATACCATAGTGACTTAGCACTTCACGCACTAGTCGAGGAATAGGGAAGCACATCCCCTCCACCAAAGTCTAGTCATAGATACTAATTCAACTTGGCACGAACTAATCAACTCTCTCATTCTGGTTCGACACCCTCATCTCAACAGAAACAGATATCTTGTATAGACACCTAAGCTTCTTGAGCTCCACCTGTTCAATCTGGGATGGACGATTATCAGCTAACATCCCTACTCCGAGACATCTTTGCTCGTCCCCATCAGCGCCACTGGTCAAGGGGATCTCACTACCATCAGCTTGATCGGCGTCGATGATATGTTCCCACTCGGACTCACCACTAGACCATTCGTCAATCGACTCATCGTCATTCCTCTCTACACCGTGACTGCTCGACCCCAATTGTCGGGACGAAAAGTGATGCTTACCCCCTCGATGGGACTATCTGGTAACCTTCCAGGATCACCACCATGGTCGGTACATCCTCATACTCATTCCTTCTAGACATCGCTACTTTGTTTCATTGCCTTCAATCTCCACCCACCTTGACACTGTCTAGTTGCTTAAAGATAAACTTCACTCGGCTCGGACCCTGTCTGATTCAGCTCTTTCTTGACCCAAGCCGAAGAAAACCTCCTATCTTTGTCTTCCCCCTAGAGCAAATCAGAAAACCACTCCGCCCTTAGAATACCAGCCGAAAATTCCCAAAACCACATTCTCTCCAAAAAAACGCAGGAGATGAAACCAAAACGAGCTAACAACACCTCCAAACACTCTTCTCCCCGTCTTTTTGACACAAAAATAGTAAAAAACCAAGAAATAGGAACAAAGGAAGCAAAAATTTACTGGATTGGATGGCTAAAAACGAAAACTCCCAAACGAAGTTGATGTTTTCTCTCACCTAAATGAGCCCAAAATTGAGAAATGGGGTGAATAAGGAGTCACCACCTTTAAAAACCCAAAAATGACAAGTGACAGGTGGCGTAATCCTATTGGTCGCCAGAGGGCGAAAACTTTTTATTTCTCACCTCTCCTATTCCGCACGTGACTTACAAGAGGCAAGAAACACAAGCGCCCTAACCGCGCCAACCCGAGATCCTCCTAGCTCGCCAAACCAAGGCGGCTTAGACTATCTCAGTGAAATGCCTCCATCGCGCATCGAGGACTCATACCTTCACGTCTACACCCCTTCGGGGGCTCAACAATTATCTCAGTTAATTCCACCAAGGTCGCCGACCCACACCTAGCTGGCCAAATTGAGCCTAAAACGATACGGCTAAGTTGGCATTAGATAACGCACAGAAAGGATCCCAACGATGAATACATCATCCCGTTCAGATATTGTTCCTTGAGCTGAACCGTGTCGAACTGGACAGGTGCAAGCTTTGTAACCGCAGAGTACTCATGTCTCCTTTTTGTTCGGCTCGACCATTTGACCCGAGCCGACTTATACGCATCCCCTTAACGCCTTTAACGGCCTAACTATCTGCCTAGGAATCCTGGCCTATCTGTATCCTGAACACAAGCAATCGAATTTACTCTCTTAAGCTAAATACCCTTTAACTTAAGAGAGTAGGGGATAAACTGTATGGGCCAAAATTCGTATTGGGCCTGATGAGGTCCAATCGCAACAATGATATGTGACGGCCTAGAGCCTTGGCCCAATCCCGACTAGGCCCACGCTTAGAATACCTTAGGAACTGCCTGCTCTATGAGTTGGGCCACCTCCCAAGTTAAGCTAAATTGGGTCCGGCCCATTTGCCCACAACAGTCCACAAAGGGATAAGAATCCCACTCAAATTCCACTTCTTATAGGATCCCGTATCCAACCCAAGTTGGGAAGCCTCAGTTGATAAAGGTAATAGATCTGATCTCCTCCCCAAATTGGAACTCCTCTACTAAGTAGGATTCAAAGTCCTATTAGGATTCTAGCCCTATGGGTTCACTATATAAAGAGAGGCAAACCATCTCATCAGGGGAGAGATCACCCCTAAGCTCCAACTCTCATACTGTCAAACCCACCGTCTACTTCAACTTCTCTACACTGCTGAAGCTCCCCCCTAACCTTCGGGTTACCCTCTGTATGTCCATCTAGGTTGTCAGTGGCTCGCTCCACAAGATTCTGTCTTTCATTCAATTGTAAATTTTAGTGTTTGCAGTTATCAAGAACAATTCATTTAAAACAGAAATCTACAAATATTGGATAACCATATTCTTCGTTGTACATAGTTTAACTTTCCTTCAGTGGTACCTTGTCGTTGGATATATTTATTGGTGAATAAGTTCACACCTTGGGAGGTGGAAGAACCCACTTGTTTCCATCAAGGTAAGTCATGCTCAAAAAGGGCTCAACTTCTTCATCTGATAGTTTCTTGGCAAATTTGGCTCGACTAGTGGAATCAGCACCTAGCCCCATGTACTTGTATTCTCCATAATATACCTTTCTGCATAATTGCAATTTCAACAAAATACACCATTTATTACGAGGTTTTTTAATAATTAAAAACATCAGCGCTCATTTAATGCTAAAGATGATTAGTACCATACTTTTGATTGTTATCAGATTGTCCGAACATGTCGTTAAGCCATCCTTGATCGTTGATGTGTTCACCCATGTGTGTATAAGCAAATATAACCCTAAGGCTATTCTTCCACGCACGTCCAAGGTATGTGTCACCACTGCTGATTATGTTGCAATGGACAAATGCAAATCCACTTTCGCGACTCACTCCTTCTCTGCCATGTGCTGTTATTACTGATAAACCCTTTGCCACTGATTTTATGGTCGTGTTCTACATAAACAATCTAATTGTTAGCTTTAGTCCTTGTCAACACATCAATCTAGCATTTCTTTTATAGCCGTCATCATAACCATCTTTTGATTGTATTAATGTAAAGTGTGAAATATATATGTGTTATTTATTATATGAACTAAGGTTAACAACATTAGGTTTTTTTTATTCATTTTCTTTTTCAACCCCTTATTTTAATACCAATATTTCTCAACCGCACTCTGGAATTATACATAAATGTTATAAGATTATAATAATCTATAAAATAGTAAGAGTAGTTGAAGTACCAAGTATAGGGTTTGGCCATCTCCAAAGATGAAATCAACGGTGCCTTCAACGTAACAGTCTCTGAACAAATGTCTGCCAACAAAATCACACAAGGTGTCCTAATAACCAATAAACTTGTAGTTATGGAACGTTGCCACATCTCTTGATATTCTCAAGGCCACTACCTGTTGTTCATCTCTCGTTGCATCCAGCATTGGAGCCGAATTCTAAAAAAATAAAAGTAACAAACATGAATATTAAGTCATCACACTAGAACGATAAAGATTGAAAATCACGTTCTTACGAATTCCATGCTTACATCTAGTTTATCGCATCCAATGAATTAGTTAATAGTTACAAAGATGATATATACTAGATCATATTAGAAAATATAGGTTAAACGTTTTATCATAAATAATTTATGGTTACCTATTACTTTTATTGGCAAGAAAGGGAGGAGGTCAGCAGAGTCATAATAGGATAAATAAAATACAATATCTAAAATTAAAAGACATACGACAAATTCAATGTTAACAACCACGAAGTAGTCACTCTCCACAACCACTGTAGTGCTATCCACCATGCCATATTTGGCTGCTGTTCCATCGAACACAATCTTTGGCATGCCTTTTTGATCCCTTAAAAATGTTACAAACCTCTTGGGCTTATCAATGGTGATCTTTTCTCGATACTCACCTCCCAATCTTAATTACCATCATTTTTGTGCTCCTAGAAGGAATGCTTTTCATTGCATCGGTCACCGTCTTAAAATCTCCACTACCATCATTCTTGACAGTTATCACTTTAAGATCAGCCTCCGCGATGGCCAAAACATCGTCCAAGACAAAGCTTTTTTTGTCATCCAAACTTTTTTGTTTCTACGAATTGTTTGACGTTTTGGCCAATCCATGCGTCAAGTTTAGATGAATTGGCAGGTATGATCTCTTGTTGGAAAACCACGAACAAGATGAGGTTAGAAGAAATTATAACTATTGTTAACAAGGTTGCAAGAATGGAGAATTGTTTCAACTCTCCAGCCATTCTTGATTGCTTTATTTTATTTTTTATTTTTTATTTTCTCCATGTTTATGATATGTGGAATGAAGGACTTTTAAGGTATTTATAAACCGGGTAAACTTTGTACCTGAAGTTGTTCATTATATTTGTTTGAAGTTTATTTTTGTAATCGTTTTGTTACTTAAATGACTGCCCCTTATGAGAGGTTAAATGTCATAAACGCGTTTCTACTATCCAAGGTGGTTCTGACTTTGTTTATCCTTTTTTTAAAGAGTAACATTATTGTCTTAGAGAATCTTATTTATTGTTTTTAAACTATGTACATTTTAAACGTAATATTTGTTTTTGAAAACTATTTCTAATGTATGTTTCTCTCGAAAGCTAATTAATAATGCTTAGTATTATGACATAAGGAAAAGGGTATTTAAGGGATTTAGAATCTTTGTTACAAAGGAGTTGAAAGCTAACAAGATATAACCACAACCGCTAAGTTGAATTAGGTTTTGAAGTGTTCAAGTGCGACATGACCAAGAATAACAAATTGTACATGACACCAAATTTAGAGAATCTATTAGGATTTTGATGATCATTAGATAAAACGGAACAAGGTTGACGTAATTCATTTGCAACATAAGACGTAAGGCATGCAACAAATTAAATGTAAAACTTGCAATATTAAATATAGAACTTATATTAAAGAAGATATATTTGTATATACTTTACTAAAACATAATTACTAGTAAACTAAAACATTGCCCCCATACGCTTAACTTTTTTTTTTTTTTTTTTTAATTTACTAGCAAGGTAAATTTTACGCCAAATCAAAGTAGAATTGGAACCTAAAACACCAAGGTATGATCTTTATCCTCTCTCAAACTACATCCGCATTTTATACTAAACCTCAGAAGTAACTATTCAAGCTCGATGTCTACCTCCTTAAACGTGCTAGCTCCTCAAACCTTTCTAAATCACTCTCATGTTGCTCTTAGGGTTTTTTTTACTTCATGGATTTGGTGATTGAATGGGAATGGGAACCCCTCTTATTACTTCCCGATTGCATTGTTTCCTCAAAAGATTTGGCATGTGCAACCTTATTGTGCCCATGACTTAAAAAGTATGGAAATAAATTCCAAATGAAAGGATTAGGAATCCTTAATCCATTCGTGTTTTTAATAAAAATTGTATTTTAAACCCTTAAAAATATGTTTCATTTTTTATGATATTGTCATATGATGATAATCAAATTGTAAATAATTTATTCTAAATTTAAATAGTACTATAAAAATATTTAACTTTTTAAAATAAAGAATAAATATAAAAAATTATATATTTGCGCACTTATTTCATAACTAATTTCAATTATAATGTGTAATTTGACTTCTACTAATATGATAGCTAGGGATATTTTTATTGTGCTTCTAAGTCAGGTAAAAGGCATATCCTACTTCACAAATACAAGTATTATTGGGAAGCCTTTTATTGTAAAACCTTGGCTTCAATATTTATACTAGTGATTTGGACTTCTTACAATTTAACGATAGATCTACCTTTGTCCAGTAACACTTTCCGTCGTTTGTTTCTTTCTCGTGCATACATGACAGATTTACTCTTCCAAGGCCACTCCCTTCTGAACAGAGTGTAATCATATTCTAAATCACTCTCATGTTTCTCTCAGAATTTTTTACTTGTATTCGCCATTACAATAATAAGTTCTAACTCTAAAATTGCTAATCCTTTTACAATGATTTTGAGGGGGTTTGAATACTGTTAGGTTGATCACTGTTACAAGAGTAATTTTTGGGATAATAACTTGTGTTTTGGGAAGTTAATCCCATGATTTTTTGTGTAATGATAATGCCAAGATTGTGGGTAGTTAATCCCATGATCTTCTTCTTGATTTTAAGGGATAATGCTTGGCTAAGGGCATGAGGCCCATCCACAGCTAAAAAGACAACTACTGAGTAGCTCACTTTACTTCTGATCGCAACTCGCTTCCATTTGATCGTCATCTTACAAGTCACTCCGAGCTACAGTTTGCTCCAAACTATTGCTTGCTTCGAGCTGTCTGCACATTCTCGCACAACACAAAACAACAAGCAAATCAAATTCTAATAACTTCAACCAAAAGGAATAAATTAATAATCCTATGATACACTTTCTTAAAACTCTTGTGCAGCAGTATTGAACTAAGGAGGAGTGCTTTATTGTAAAGGCTAGAGTATTAGAAAAGTACAACGACAACAATGAGAGTACATTTAGAAGTTTAAATATATATTTTTTTTCTAAATATTTAATGGAGTTTATTATTTATAACGAGATCTTGTAATATATTTAGTTTGAATAAATTTTTTTGGATTCAAATAACTAAAATATTAAATTGGTGACTCTTACTAGATTAATTAGATTATTGCTATAGCTATTAATTTTTTATTTTATTTATTTTAAATTCAAATTAAATTATGATACTTTCATCTTTTTAATTCAAATGCATGGATTCTTTCTGACATTCGAATTCAATTTATTGGCAATTTTTAATTAGATTATTGCTATAGCTATTTTTAACTTTTTTTTTTTTGTTGATACAGAAATCTGCACTAACTAGCGAGATCTGATCGACTTTGCCGGAATCAGGACTGATGTGTGTATGATTAAGAATAATCAGTAATGTATGTAAAAAGAATGCAATAAAGTAAAGACAATGAGAGTTTTAAAGTGGTTCGACGAGGTTAACTCTGAAGCCTACGTCTACTATTTTTGTATTTGTTTTGAGAGCTTACAAAATAGTTTCTATATGAAATTCGTAACCCCTTCCTCATCGTTTGAGGGGGTTTATATACAAGATTTGTATAAAGGAAAGAGCAGAATTAAGGAGATTACAATTGATCTTAATCGCAATTCCAATATTCTCGCGATTAGGCGTAGTGATTGTGCAGTGATCGCGGTTGATCTAGTCATTCCCGTAATATCTGGGCTCTGAAATAATTTGGAAGTTGATTGAATGATTTCTTGAACTATCCATGACTAGCTTGTGTCGGGTCGAGCTTCGGCTCGACGAGCTCATTCTGGGTCGATCAATCATTGTTACCGAGCTCATTCTGGGTCGAGCTATATCCTCGCATTGGCCCGAGCTTGGTGGAAAAACCACACTCAACATTTTTAATCCAAATTAGATTATAGTTTGACTCTTGAACTCAATCGCTTGAAAGTTTCAAAATTTTAATTCAAAATGCATTGATTCTTACTGTTATTTGAATTCAATTTAATATTAATTTCTAGGTGACTTATCAACTGAATTATGAGAGGCTAATTATGGGTTAATAGCGATGTTTTTCCAATTAATTATATAAAGGATCATACAAAAGATTAATTAAGAAAAATTAAACTTAAAGGTTACATTCGAGAAAACACAAACCAAATTATGACGGATGAGATTGTGAAATCTTTAATTTCTTGCATTAAAAAATATATTCAATTTAATAATTATAAATAATATAAATTAATAAGAAAGAAATAATTTAGAAATGAGATAAGAATACTGACTAGTAATATGATTAATATATACCTTTTTTATATTCTAGATTCTTTTCTTAAGAGAGTGGTGCTATATAGCCGTCTTTTATTTGTATTAATACAAAATTTAGAAATAGATGTCACTTATTGTTAATGGAATTTAGAATTTTACCTGGCAAATTTGCACACCACCTATTAACATGTTAATAGTGTTTTTAACTTAAGTTTTATTACTTCGGATCATTAATGAGTAAACCGGTTAGTATCCAATTTCAAAACGGGCGGTGCTCAAAATTTAATCTTGAAAATGGTGTGACTAAATAATTATATATATTTTCAGTAATTAAATACATAAAAAACATACTAAACAAGATGAATATTTTAATTATTTATTGGGAGAACGACATTTTCCCACCTAAGGTTTGGTGGAGCAACACTTTTTCACACGTCAAGTTTTTAAAACGATACTTTCCTGTCCACCAATATGTTCCATTAGAGAAATCAGTTCTAGAGAAGGGCAGCATGGTCAACTTACATAAAATCGCAAATATCAAAATTTGAAAATTGAAATCTCGATTAGTGTAACTTCACCTGAATGGTTGCCAAGTGTTCCACTAAAGTTGACTTGATAAAAAAGGGAGAAGGAAAAGACATTTGTCTTTTCTCATTGTTCTCTGTAACTAAAGCTTAAACGGTTAGGGTTGGCGACTAGCGACTAGGGCCATGGATGATGACGAGTGGGGTCCCGATAAGGAGGAAGAAGGTGGTGCCATGGTTGTGGTAGAGGAGAGAATCCCAAAGAAGTGACGAAGATTGATAACTTGAAGAAGGCTTTAGAAGATTCGTTCTATGGGATCGATCGTGGGTTGACGGTGATAAGTTGCATAAATTTAGTGTTTTTAGGTTTGTTTTTTTTATAGTCTTTTAGTTAATTTCTCATTTGTTTTCTTTGTTTTGATGTTAGTTTTTGTTAAGTTTAAGATGTGAATGGTTAGCTATTGATTTGGAGAATTTTTGTGATTTTCGAGCTTTAATTGAGTAGATTGCAGCATTGGAATGAAATTGAGATTCAAAGCTTGAAGAAATTGAGATTAGCTG